GCTTTCAGGATCCCGTTGAGATCCATGTGAATATTGAATGGCGTCTATTTTTGCAGAAAAAAAACCAATGGGCTTGTTGATAGAAACTTGAATGTGCAGATTACTTTGGGTAGTATCTGTTATTTAAGTTTTCCATTCATAAAACACGGATGTCTTCCAGTTATATATGTCTTCCTCTAATTCTTCAGCAATGGTGTTTGTAGTTTTCAGTGCACCAAGTCTTTTTGCCTCTGGTTAATTTATTCCTATGTATTTATTCTTTTTGATGCACTGATAATGGGAATTGTTTTCTTAAGTCTTCTCCAATTGTCCATTGTTATGTGTATAGAAATGCAAATGACTTGTGTGTTGATTTGTATCCTGCGACTTGCTTAATCTTTTATGACTAACAGTTTTTGCAATCTTTGAGCTTTTCTAATATAGAGATGTAGTTTATAAATCATCTGCTAAAGGAAGTATTTTAATTCTTCCTTTCTTGCAGAATGGATGTCCTTTCTTTTTCTTGCTTATGTCTGCTGGCTAGCCTCAGTACTGATGTTAAATAGAAGTGGTGAAGTAAGCATCTTGTCTTGTTCCTAATCCTGGCGGCAAAATCTGTTCAGTGTCTTTCTATCACTGGTGCTATGTTTAGCTGCCAGCGTTTTGTCATTTACAGCCCTTCATCCTTTTAAGGAAGTTTCCTTTACTTCTAGTTACTTGGTGCCTTTTTAACACAAAGCGAGTGTGATTTTGAGAATGCCTGTTTCTGCAATCGCATTGAGATGTCACATTTACCCTGAATCTAATCCCAGTAGTGCTTGCCCCATCACTTCTCACAGCTTGCTTTTTGTTTTCTTTTTTGAGGACGAGTCTCGCTTTGTGCCAGGCTAGAGTGAATGTGCCGTGGCGTCAGGCCCTAGCTCACAGCAACCCTCACTCCTGGGGCTCAAGCATCCTTCTGCCTCAGCCCCCCCGTAGCTTGGGACTACGGGCATGCCGCCCATGCGCCGGCTAATTTGTATATGGTATATCAGTTGGCCATTATTTCGTAGTTCTATGAGTAGAGACGCGTGTGGGGGTCGCGGCCTGTTGCTCAGGCTGGGTTTCCGGACTCCTGACCGTTGAGCATCCGGGCCCGCCGTCGCGGGCTCCCCAGAGAGCCTAGTTGTTACCAGGGTTGACGCCACAGCGCCCGGCCTCACAGCTGCGTTTATGCACGCTATTATATCGTTTGCTAATCCCAATGGCTCATTTCTCAGTCTCCATCTTACTTGGACTTCTCAGCATCAGAGCCGGGGCTGTGTCACTGACCATTTTCTGGAGGAGATTTCGCAGCACCCGACTCACACTTGCCTAGTTATCCGTACCTCCTGGCTGTTCTTCTTACTCAACTTTTTAGTCTTTCCACATGTGCTGCGTTCTAAACAGCGGGGTGGCCGTAGGCTCAAGCCCTCGTTCCGTCTCTCTCTCTGAAGATCTCAATCCAGTCTATGGACTTCAAATACCATGCTGTATGCTTGAAGACGCCCAGGACACCCCTTGAACTCCACACCTGTTATTGTCCGTCCTGCTATCCAACACTTTACCTGGCATGGCATTATTACATAGCATCTTAAAATGAAAGGTTAAAACCAAGCTTCTCTGTAGATTTCTGACTAATCAGAGCTCTTCTGCCCAGGCTGCTTCTCTCATTTTGCCAGTCTCTATTGTTCACACTGCTGCAGGGCCAATACCACAGAGTTGTTATTAACCTCTCTTTCTCTCATACCCACATCCAAGCCATCAGCAAATCCTGTTGGCTCTGCTTTCAAAATGTATTATTTAGTCTGATCACTTCTTATTCCATTTGCTGCTATCAAAGACCCTCTCTTTCCATCCAGGTGGCCGTAGTGGCCTCCTAAAAGGTTTTCCTGCCTCTGCTTTTGCCCTCTATAGTATGTGCTCAGTACGAGAGCGATCCCTTTAAGAGATTAGATCGGCTCTTTTCTGCACACTCAGAGTAAAAGTCAAAGTCCTTTCAATGGTCTACAACAGGCCCTGTATTATCTGGCCTCTGTCACATTCTGACCAGGCAATGGATTTTTTGATATGACATATGACATCAAATGCACAACCAAAAAAAAAAAAAATTAGGAAAATGGGTAAATTGGATTTCACCAAAATTAAAAATTTTTGTGCTTCAAAAGATAACTCATAGAATGGGAGGATATATCTGCAAATCATATAACTGACAAGAGACTTCTTTCCAGAACTCTTATAATTCAGTAATAAAAATATAAGTAATCCAGTTTAAAAATGGGCAAAGGTTCTAAATGGGTATCTCCAAAGAAGATATACAAATGACCAATAAACACAGAAAAGATGATACCATTAGTCATTATGGAAATGCAAATCAAAACCACAATGAGACACCACTAGGATGGTTATAATAAAAAAAAAATGGACAATAACAATGTTGGCAAGGATGTAAAGAAGTTGGAACACTCACACTTTGATGGCTGGAATGTAAAATGGTGCAACTGCTCCTTGGAAAGCATCTGGTAGTTTCGTAAGAAGTTAAACACAGTTATTACATAACCTAGCAGTTTCATTCCTAGGCATATACCTAATAGAACTGAGAACACATGTTCACACAAAAACATGTACACAAATGTGCGTAGCAGAAGTATTCCCGATAGCCAGAAAGTGCAAACAATCCAAATGTTCCTCAACTGATGAATGGATAAATAAAATGTGGCATATCCACACAGTGGAATATTATGCAGCCATACAAAGGAATGAAGAACTGATATATGCTGCAATATGAATGAGCCTTGAAAACATTATGCTAAGTGAAAAAAGACACAAAAGGCCAAATATTATGTCACCCATTTATATGAAATATCCAGAATAGGCAAATCTATGGAGACACATTAGTGACTGCCAGGGGTCTGGGGGAGGGTAGAATGGAGAGTAATTGCTAATGGGCATGAGTTTCTTTTGTGAGTAAAAAAACGTTCTGGGACTAGAACTTTTGGTTGAATGGTTGAGAATCTTGTGAATATACTAAAATACTACTGAATTGCACACTTTAAAAAATAAGTAAAATTAAAAAGTGGAACAGTTTTAACAATCTCATTCCATCAACTGTGCAGATGGTGGGTCAGGGAGGAGAGCGATGAAGGCATCGCATAGGCAGGGAGGAGGAGCCTAGACAAGACCCCTCTTTCTTACAGCTTCCTGGCCACCAGGTCCCTCTCAACTGCAGGGAATATATGAAGACTTGGGCCTGGAGATCAGGCTCAGGAGAGCTGAGAAGGTCCTGGGACGTCCGGAGGAGCCCCCAGGGAAGGACTGGTGCAGGTGAGTGCTGGGCTTGCAGCTCTGCACTGGGAGAGTGTACAGGCAGCATGTAGACCATTTTCAACTAGAAATTATATTCATGTGGTATAAGATATAAAAAGGCCCAAGGGGATCTGAGAAAGAAAAGCAAAGGGCAGAAAGACCTAAAGGTAAAGCAGGGGGAGGGGAGGACCCCTGGGCCAGTACTTATTGTTTCCTAATAAGTAAAATAAAGCAAGGTCTCCAAAGTAAGGTCAAACTTTTCTCCTTGATAATACCAAGGGAATGGACAGACCCTTTTCAATTTGAAGAGCCCTGGCCTGTGTGACCTCAGGAAGGAAACATGAAATTGGACCCTGGCAGGGAGCAGAGCAGCTGAGAACCACGCTGCGAGTGGAGCTGGTGGGCAGAGCCTCCACGCCCGCCTCCTCCACTCCAGGGACTTGAGCTTACCCTGGCTGCTCCCTCTTAACCCAAAATGGAGGAAAGAATTAAGATTCCATACTTAGTCATTTTAACTTACAAAACAATATTTATTAACCCAGTTTCCCTTCTCCTGCCATAATACGTAGGTGTGACACAGATGGCCGGGTACATTAGCATGGAGTTGTCAGAAAGCCCCCCCAGTCACTGATGTAGAGTTAAGTGACTGGCCTTGGTCAGGCAATAGGACTATAATTACGGTGTGGTTTCAAGCACCATACTCAAAGCAGACCCAGCCCAGATCTCCAGCACCTGCCAAGCTCACTGGGGCAGGCCTGGGAGCACAAGAATCAAAAGCACTGTACAGATGATCAGGAATGCCTCGGGCAGAACACTGCTGTGGTTGTACCCCCCTTACAGAAGCCAGAGCTGTCCACCCTCAAAGCGGCTCTGTCAGAGGCCTGCCTCCCTTGGGAGCAGGGCTGGCCCAAAGGCCTGGCTGGTCTAGCATCTCCTCTTGGCTGATGGTCAGAAGGCTGCACACGTGGGTCCCCTGGGAAGCAGTCCCACACACCAACCCCAGGCTGGGCCGCCATCATTATCTTTCCTGCTGTTCTGTCCAGCCAATTGGTGCTACTGCTGCTTGTGTGGAAGGCTCTTCCAGGTGGGCGGGAGCTTCCTGTGGATCAGTGTGAGTCCGCAGAGGATGAGGAACACTCCTCCCCACCACAACACCTCCTGGCACTCTCCATACAGCACATAGCCCAGGAAGGCCTGCGGGTCAGAGACAGCTGTGAGGGACCCAACTTTAGTGGGTGGGCACCACCTCACTCCCCCGGGGCTGACCTCTTTCCTAAGGGGCCCAGAAGGAGAGGTCTGGCACCAGAAGCCTTGGGCTTAAAACTCAGCTGTCACCTTCATCAAGCTGCTCCAATTCACTTCTATCTCACCTGTAGGAGTGGTGAGTCTCACCTGTACCTCCTGCATAGCTCTGGATCCCAGCAAAGGACAGGAGAAAGGCCCAGCTGAGGCACCAGGTAGGCACAGCTGGTACCTGGTGTTCACTGACCCATGCTGGGCTACTAAGTCCTTCTTCCCTCAACTCAAGGCTCACTGGGCTCAGCCCCACCGTGTTAACCTCACATTACAGAGGGAAGAAAGGTCTCTGGAACCTCACCCTCCACATCTCATGCTTGAGAGCACAGGACCCTAGGAGACAGCCAGGCTGCACAGGGACTTTCAAATGAGGACTCCACGCTGGACAGACATCAAGCAGATAGGCTTCTTACACTCAGGTTTTATTCTTATCTAACTAGAGAATTCCTCCATGATTAGAGGAGCAGCCATCTAGGAGCCAAGCCACTGCCAATCCTGTTTCAGTTCCGGTCCTTTTTCCTGTCTGGGATAGCAGGGCCTCCCAGGGGACAACTCACCCAGAACCAGGTTTAGGACCCTCTGGCTACTCACCGAGCTGAGGATGTTTGAAAAAGTCACTGTGACAGATGCAATGGCTGAAGACATGGAGAAACTGAGGCCCCGGCTAAAGAAGGTCCACATCAGGGAATTGGTGCTTGCCATCACTATGATGCCTAAGACGGATAAGCCTACGTTCACCTGCAGGAGAAAGTGTCACTGCAGCCACCCCTGCCCTGGGAAGCAACCTGCGGCTCCCTCCTCACAGCACACCCAGGGCTGCTGGCAACCGGGCCCCTTCTAAGCTTGCCACAGGCCATCTTACAGGTGAAACAAACTCAGAGAAGACACTTATTTGGCCACTTTTATGGCCATGTGACCTTGGGGGAAAGCAAAATGCTAATCTCAAAACCAGTATTTTCTACTGAACAACAGTGCCTTATTGGTCCCACAGTGACCAATGCTTGAAGATCAGTTCCAGAGGGCCACGTAGCTATTGTTCAGTTGGTAGTACTAGTAAGTCAGGGGTAGAGTCCTTACTTCTCCAGATCATGTAAAACAGGTAAAATTAGCCATATCTGTCCCCCATCTGCATTCCCTAATCCTGAGCAAGTCACAGCCCAATCAGGACAACTCCTTATCCATCACCACCCTGGGCATTCTTGAGCTTTACTCTGTGCTACGTCCTGTGCTAACTGGGTTTGTGTGTGTGTGTGTGTGTGTGGTTTTTGTTTTGTTATTGTTTTTTAGGCAGGGTCTTGCTCTGTCACCCAGGCTAGAGTGCAGTGGCATGATCATAGCTTACTGTAGCCTTCAACTCCTGGGCTCACAATCCTCCTGCCTCAGCCTCCCAAGTAGATGGGACTACAGGCATATGCCACTACACCCAGCTAATTATACACATACACGCACACACACACAATTTGTAGAGACAGGGTTTCATTATGTTGACAGGCTGGCCTTGAACACCTGGCCTCATACAGTCCTCCCACCTGGGCCTCCCAAAGTGCTGGGTTTACAGGCGTGAGCCATGGTGCCCAGCCCCTGTGCTAAATGGTTTAAATGTGTTCCCATTTATTCCTTAACTTCATTTTACAGATAAAGAACCAAGGACATTTAGCATAACTTGCTTAAAGTGCCACAATGGTGAGAACCACTAGGATTCAAACCCAGGCAGCCCTACCTAGGGAAAACACCTCCTGAAACTATTTGACTGGTGATCCCAGGCATCACTCTGAGAGGAAGTTTTGAGAAAAGTGAAGATCTTTAGAAGACTCCTACACAAAGGATATGCGGATCCCTCTGCTTGGCTTCAAGTTAGAAACCTGCCTGCAGACAGGGCCGCTAACTCAGGGCGTTGGACCCATCTAAACATCATACTTATTTCTTGTAACAGTTTCCCAGTGGCTGTCTAGTGTTTTCAGGAACAGTGCTTTCTTATAATTTGCACAAGAGGATCATAGGGGCTGGTAGCAGCATGCTTACATAAAGAGTTATGACCACCTGGTTCCCAACTGAAAAATTTCAGAGCTCATAGAGTCACTCATTTTACCTTAGACCACTGCCCCAAGAATTACACCCAAGAGGATCCTAACCTCAAGCACGGCAGCTCTCACTGGAATAGTCCTAAATAGTCTGAACACTGTCCAGGTCAGGGCACAACCTTAGGCTGGAGATGCAAGGAAACCCCCCTCTACGACTCAGAATAGGAAAAGGCAAAGGGGTACACCTTAGCAGACGTGGGAAGGCAGTTTGGAAGTTTTCAGCGTCAGGGAAATGTCCAGAATATTCTCTCAGTAATTCCTTTATACCAAGGGTAACCCAAACTCCCAATTTCCCTGGCAACAGGGTAGACTGGTCAAAATACCCGTTAATTGAGGAGTAAAGAGATGGGCAACAGGTTTCTCACCTTAAGAGTCACGTGGAGAGAAATGCTCAGGCACAAGGGGCTTAAAATGAGAGGTAGAGGGTGGATGTAGGAGGTGTAGATCTTCCCCGAGAGCGAACTAGCCCAATCGGAGGAAAGATTTTAGGTGCCTGGTAAGGGAGGAGGCCTCAGTCCCCGACGTCTCTTACCGCCTACACTGGACGAGGGTTTGGTGTGATTAGAGTAGAAGGATGCTCTCCCACCCCAGCTGAGCGCAGCGCCGGGACGGCGGGACAGACCGGCGGGGTGAGGCGGCGCCCTGCGCCCCCACCCCCACCCCCGGGAGCCCCGCAGCGCCCCTCCTCCGCCCATTCCCGCCCTCCGGCCCTCCCGCCCGCAGCAGCAGCAGCAGCAGTGCCCCCGGCTCGACCTCGCTGCCGAAGGCCAGCTTGGCGGAGGCGGCGGCCAGGGCCCCGAACGCGCCGGCGCACAGGCAGTTGAACACGCCCCAGAAGCGGCGCCGCATCGCGCCCGCCTGGAGGTACGGGGGAAATTCGACGGGGGTGTCGGGGTAGGCGGTAGCTGCCACGGCACCGCCCGGGGGCTGCGGCCTCACGGCCATGGTGCCGGCTGCCACGGCTCTGTGCGCCCGCCGCGCCTGCTACCCACAGGGCCGAGCGAGAGCCGCGATTGGACGGCGGCCTCACGTGACGTGACACTCACGTGACGCGGCACTCACGGAGGCCCATTGGGCTCATTCCCCGGCCTCGGAGGTGCGGGTGGGTGGCGGCGAGTGCAGAGACCTGCGCGTCCGTCTCTCTAGGCGGTGATTTGTGTGTGTGGGAAGACGCCGGGACCAGATTCTGAGGCCGAGTGATACCGTGGTTGCAGTGGTAGAACGTACACTACTGGCTGCCTAGCAGTTTCAATCCTGTCGCTGTGGTCCAACATCGGTTTTTCTAGGAACTTGTTAGATGCTGAATCCCCGACCCCACCTCAAACTCATTGAGTCAATCCACATTTTTTAAATTTTATTAAAACATTTTTTTTGGCCGGGCGCGGTGGCTCACGCCTGTAATCCTAGCACTCTGGGAGGCTGAGGCGGGTGGATTGCTCGAGGTCAGAAGTTCAAAACCAGCCTGAGCAAGAGCGAGACTGGTCTCTACTATAAATAGAAAGAAATTAATTGGAAAACTAATATGTATAGAAAAAATTAGCCGGGCATGGTGGTACATGCCTGTAGTCCCAGCTACTTGGGAGGCTGAGGCAGAAGGACTGCTTGAGCCGGGGAGTTTGAGGTTGCTGTGAGCTAGGCTGTACAACAAAGCGAGACTCTCAAAAAAAAAATTTTTTTTTTAAGAGACGGGGGTTGGGGGGAGGGGTGTCTCGCTATGTTGCTCAGGCTAGCGTCGAACTCTTGGCCTCTCGAGTCGCTGTTCACCGTCCCCAGCCTCAATCTACCTTTTAACAAGACCTCTAGCAGATTCGCAGGTTCCTTCCAGTTTGAGAAGCACAGAATGGAGAGATGCTAGGATGGAGAGATGCTTCGGCAGAGGGCGCTGGAGGGCTCCAGACTAATACAGAGGCCAGCACTCCTGACAAATGAAAAGCCCCCAGATGGGCACACGACAATTATAGAAAATATAGATAAGCAAGAAGAAAATAAGGCCTCCATAGTCACTCCTTCAGGATTAACGTTACTTCTAATCTCCTATGCACTTATATATGGTTAACCTGTTTTCATTTAAAAATTCTATTTCCTTGAAAATAAAGTGTTGAAATGTATAAAGTATTACCTCTACTCTCCAGGAAAGTCAGCTAATAGAGTACCTTTTATAATGCATATTTAGTTATGTATAGTACAAATACTTAAGAATTTTTACACGGTATAGGCCAGGCATGGTGGCTTAGGCCTGTAGTCAGCACTTTGGGAGGTGGAGGTGGGAGGATCACTTGACCTTGAGGCTAGGAGTTTGAAACCAGCCTGGGTAACAGCGAGACGCCATCTCTATAAAAAATAATAATTAGCTGTGCATGGTGGTGCACGCCTGTAGTCCCAGTTACTCAGGAGGCTGAGGCAGAAGGATCCCTTGAGACCACGAGTTCAAGGCTGCAGTGAGCTGTGATCCCACTGCACTCCAGCCTGGGCAACAATGGGAGACCTTGTCAATCAATCAATAATAAATAAATAAAAATTTACATAACATGAGACATTTTAAAAAACAAATGATTTCACAGTGAACATACTGTTCAACAGCATTCTCTTTTCTTTTTTATTTTTTTCAGCACATTCCTTCCTGTTGTAAGCATTTTCTATTAATCTCTCATTCAGGAATTTTTCATGGAAGTCCTTCCACACCACCCCACTTCTCTCATAGGGTGTTTTTGTGGCTCAAATAAAAGTGTGGATAACTCCATTAACTCCTATGTGGTACAAACTCCCATTTTGCAGATGAAGAATTGAGGCTCAGAGAAGCTCACTGCACCATACCATTGAGCAAAGAGCTGTGTGAACCCCATCTCAAAGATAATCCCCTCTGAAAGCTCTTACCTTACTTTGAACCTCCAGAAAATCAAGTGGTGTTGCATTGATCAACTCTCTGCATGCTTTAAAGAATGTAAAATGAGTTTCTTAGAACAAATCTCTACCTGCACTAGAGATTGAGCATCTCAGAGCCACCTCCTCTGTAAAGCAGTCTCTGCTACTCTCCTGTCTTCACACCAGACCTGTGGTTGTTCCTCTGGTTGTTTGTCTCTCTGCTAGCCTGCAAGCTCCTGGAGGACAGGGACCACATTTTCTTTCATCTCCAGGTCCCCAGTGCATAACAGAGGGCCTTGATTTCTGGTGATAATGGTTGAATAGACACCATCCTCAGACACTGTTGGGAAGTGATTTCTGCCTCTTAGAGGCTCTCCAGTGCATACAAATCACCCAGGGATCTTGTTAAAATGATTCTGATTAGGTCTGGAGTGAGACTGAGATTCCGTGTTTCTTATTAGGCTCCCAGATGGTGCCAATGCTGCTGGTCATCCTCCTGGATCAAATAGCAAGGTTCTAAATAGCTGTTGCCCTCAGTGCATTTAAATGCCTTGCAACATGCTTGCCTCCCTAACAAGGCTCTGTCAGAGAGAAGCCATACACCTCTTATCTTTGTTTTTGCCACAGTGCCCAAAACTGTAACCCACTCAAGTCCTTGCTACAGATGTTTGATTGAATAAACTATGGTTTAATTAAAAAAACAAACAAACTTACTAACAGTAATGTAAGCTAGCTGCCCGAACTGGATCAGTGTGGAGGGAAAGGAATATGCCACCCACATTTATTTAAAAAATCAATTGAAACAAACCACAAAGATGGCTTATGAGCAAAAGATGACCCCTTGGTTCTGGAAGAGTTTTCAAACATCCCATCACCTTTAAGGGCCAGAAGTCACAACTTAAGAGCCTTTAGGAGCATGGGAGGGAATTTAAAAGTATGAAGCCCCTGCTGTGAGACAGTAGGAATGGGTGGTGACCTAGGGAGTGAATACCTTCTACTTCCTTCTCTCCATATAGCCTTACCTCAGTCTCCCCCCTCCCTCCTTCTTTTTACTGTGTCTGTTTCTCTGCCTCTTCTTTGTTCTGCTCAGTTAAATGAGCACATACTCTGAGCAAGGCCCAGATCTAGGCAACAGTCACCTGGATGCCTAAGATCCCTGTACACCTTGGGTTCTGGCTTTTTGTAAAAACCTCAGCTCTCTCTGTCCTGAGCTGGCCCACAGCCCTGTTTCCTTTCCTTGCTGTGAGTGATGTTATGGGTTGAATTGTCTCTAAAAAGACATGTTCTAGTCTTAACCCCTGGAACCCGTGAATGTGATCTTATTTGGAAATAGGATCAGGTCATCGTGGATGCAATCAAATTAAGATGAGGTCATTAGTGTGGGCCCTAATCCAGTATGACTAGTGTCCTTATAAGAAGAGACAGAGACACAGGGGAGAACACCATGTGACACTGGAGGCAGAAACTGGAGTGATACACCTACAGGCCAGGAACACCAAGGGTTGCCACAACACCAGAAGCTAAGAGAAAGGCATGGACCATGTTCTCCCCTCAAGCTCTCAGAGAAAGTGTAGCCCTGTGGACAACACGTGAATTTGGACTTCTGGCTTCCAGAATTGTGAGAAAATAAATTTTTGTTGTTTTAAGCCACCCAGTTTTATAATCATTTTTTATGGCAGCCCTAGACTGATATAGGCGGTAAGACCTAAGCTATTTCATCACCAGTGTCAATATTCTACACCTCCTACCTCCAAGGCAGATGCAGTATCTGCTCCATCCCTTTCACTAAATTTAAGTTCCTTTTGCATTTCTGGCCCTTAGGGATTTACTATTATTCCTTGAGAGTTCAACTATGCATTAATTTAAAAACTTTTCTTATATAGCTGTATTAAAAGAGGTCTAATTTACAAACCATAAGATGCTCTCATTTTGAATGTACAGTTCAATTTTTAGTAAATCCGTAGAGTTGTACAGTCATCACCACAAAGCAGTTTTAAATCATTTCTACCACCTCAAAAAGTTCCCTTGTGCCTATACAGTCATTCCCACTCCCATGCCCAGCTCTAGTCAACTAATGATTTACTTTCTAGCACTATAATTTTGCCTTTTCTGGACATTTCATATAACTGAAAGCACACAGTATGTGGTCTTTGGGTCTGGCTTCGTTCACTTAGCATATTTTTTGAGATTTATACATGTTGTAGCATATATCAATTTGTCCCTTTTTTATTGCTAAGTAGTATTTCATAATATGCAAAATTGTTCAATAGCATTAGTCATTAGGAAAATGCAAGTGAGATAATACTATACACCCACTAGGGGTGTATAGGATGGCTGTAGTAAAAAATCTGACAATAGCAAGTGGTGATGGGAATGTAAAAGGGCACAGCTAAATGGTACATGTGGAAAATAGTCAATGTCTTAAAACGTCAACACACACTTCCCAGATGACCCAGCAATTCTACTCCTAGGTATCTACTCAAGAGATATAAAACATGTCCACACCAAGACTTATACACAAATATTTACAGCAGCACTATTTGTAATATTCCCAAGTTGGAAACAACAGAAATGTCCATTAACTGGTGAACAGATAATGTGGCATGTCCATACTATGAAATATTATTCTCAATAATAAAGAATAAAGTTCTGATACACAGAAGTTACTTGAGGACAGATGCTTTTATCTGTTTTGTCCACTGATGACTAGTGCCTGGCATTTTGTAGGTCTTCATTAAGTATATGTTGAATGAACAAGTGAATAAAAAATGTAAATCACTTCATTCAGTTGCTTATTATTTTTAATCGATTTTATTTTAAAAAATGGCCTTATTTACAGTCATAGAATATGCTCATGAGAATACTTAAAAGAATACAAAAATAATCTATATTAACAAGTTTGCTTCACATACATGCTACTAAATTATCCATCAAATTCACTGCAAGTTTTGTAAGCACCATATTATTGTTAAGCTTCTAAAAGAACCAAAGGAGATTATGGCATTATCTAAGAAAATGATCTGACCAGCATCCACTAGAAACCTTAGCTACAGGCTTTTATTTTTAAAAAGGCAATAGATGTTTCCAGT